AAACCCCAACTCCTTAACGCACCTCCTCAGCTCCGCCGCCGCAGCCGGGGGATCCGCCATCGGCAGCACCGCCAGGCCCACGAAGCGGCGCGGGTGCGCGCGAATGGACTCCGCGAGGGTGTCGTTGGCGAGAACGCTCATTCGCGGGGGGCGAGAGGCGAGGCCTGGCGCGTGGGAGACGGCTTGCAGCGCGATGTGGTTTTTGTCCATGTCGGCGAGGCGGAGTGGACCGACGTCCGTGAGGCGCGCGGCGATGTCGGGGAGGTGTTTGAGCTGTTCTGCGTAAATGTCGGAGAGCTCAGGTAGGAGAGGGGGGGCGATAAAGTGCTCTTCGAGAGCGATGAGTGGGGGGATGTTTGGGGCCATGGCTGTGAGTCAATTGATATCGAGAAGTTGGCAGTGGTGTGGATGAGGGTTGCTGTTGGGCATTTATTTGGCTTGATAAGTGAAAGAGAGTGTGGTTGTGTTGATGATGTATTAGCTCCCCGCACTTCCCCAACGCCTCGACGCCTCTTTGAGTTTACTTTGCGGTACTACGTCCGAGACATGCATTCAGATCACGGGACTCGGCAGCAAACCGTCCAACCTTTCATCTAGAGCCTTGCCATCCGGGCGGATACCTCTAGCCAACTGAGCGGATAACTAAGTATTATGTTAGGTCTGGCAATTCATTTTATATAAACAATTTTGTCGTCCCTATTGTCGCTATCGTCCCCGCTGTTATAGTCCCTGTTATGGTCGTCCCTGTCGTCCCTTTCGTCCTCGTTATCGTCTATGCCTACTTCCCGCCCGGATAGCAAACGCTTCATCTATGTATGAATTTCGATGGGCGCAAAAACAGTTCGTCTTTCAATTCTTAATCTCCTCCCGGCTCTCTCTTTCATGAACGCTACTTCCTCCCCTCAATCTCCTTCGCCTTCTCCCTCGCTTTCAAATACCCAGGCTCCTTCTTGATCCGGTCAATGTACGCTGCCACCAACGGATACGCCGCCCGCGCCGACCCGCCCTCCCAGGTGCCCATCGCGTCGAACGCGCCGAGGTGGTCCGCCGTCGTGAGCCCGAAGCTGAGCAGGATGTCCGCGGCACTAAGCTCCGGGCCGCAGAGGAAGCCGTTGCCGTCGGCCACGCCCGGCGCAGTCTTGAGGTACGACTCGAGCAGGGCGAGGTTCTTCTGCGCGTTGGGGAAGAGCACGAGGGCCATGACCTTGTTGACGACGAGGGAGGTGATGGGGCGGATGAAGAAGGGAACGTTATCTGATTTGAGGACTGAATGATATTAGCGAGACGGGCGCAATGAGAGCAAATAATGAAAGAGGGTGGGAAGCGCATACTGCTGAAGAGGAGGTACTGCACCAGCGTCGGGAAGAAGGTCCCCTCGACGTAGTGCAGCAGGTACTGGAACCGTGCGTACGCCTCCGTCTCGCCGCCGACCTTGCCCTCCTGGCCGTCCTTCCACTTGCGCGGCACCAGCGACGGCTTGTTCTGGCCGAAGTGGTCGACGAGGTACTGCGTGATGTAGCCGCTCTCGGCGAGCTTGATGGGCTCGCCGCCGTTGGGTGGCGTGATTTCGAGCACGGGCGACTTGCCGAGCGGGTGCACCTGCGTGAGCTCCGGCGGCGCGAGACGGTTCGGCTGGCGGAGGAAGACCTCGGTCTCGTAGCTAAGGTTGAGTTCCTCGAGGAGCCAGAGGATGTTTTGCGCGCGAGAGTCGTTTAGCCTGGGGGGTTGGTTAGTGTGATGGACTGTAATTGAGGGGTGAAGGCGGGGCGAACCAGAAGAGCTTAATCTTGGGCTGTTCGTCGGTCGCCATTGTGAGATTTCGTTTGGTGGACAGTGAGGGTGAGTGAGATCGGCGTCTTGCGTTGTGGATGAAGGTGAGGTTTCGTTGCGCGACGAAGAACTTCGGGAGCTGCGATGAGGGGACGCCATGATAAGCTAGGGGGGCAGTTAACCGAGCGCCACGTGCCGCTAGCATTCCAGCGTTCGCGGCGATGATCATTGTGGGTTTTGGGGGACTTTGGTTGGCTGGAGGGCTGCAGCGGGTTTTTCAGGGCTCCGGGAGAACATCATGACGTGCGCTGATTTAATAGCAATCGGGTCATCGGCGGAGGGATTCTGACCGCCGGCAGGATCGGGGGACGGGGGTTCTGTGGGCCGTGTGCGGATCCTGGAATGGGAAAGCTGCGTGGGCTGACTTGCGGGATTGTAAGACGGGCCTAGACAACTCGGGCGAGGTCGTGCTGCAAGGTACGATTTTGTGTACTTGTAACTTCCTCAAGTTGTAAGCGATTGATTGGGGTGGATGAGGATGAGATGTTCATGCAGGTAAGACGGCTTTAAGATTCAGGTCCGGGGATGAAGCATCGCAAAAGGGACTTCTGATTTCCTAAATGGGTCCCGTAAGATGTCCCCGTCGGTCATTCACGGGATATTTTCGTACCCACAACATGGAACGGTTCCTGACACCATTCTCGATGAGAGTAAGATCGGTAGTCGATTGTCCCGGATCATTGTCAACTTTCCCACAACAGCCGAAGTTCCAGACTCACAAGGACGGCTGGTCGGAGGCGTCACCCCCGAACTACAACTTCCTCTTCACCAGCCCCTTCCAAAAATCAAAACTATTCTCATCGCTCTGCAAAGCCCACATCCGCCCCGTCTCGCGCCCGTCCCTGTCAACCTCGACCGCCTTCAACAGGCCCCAGTCGCGCGTGATGCCCACGATCCGCGCCCGCGCGCCGGCCTCCTGCTCCAGCGTCACCGTCTGCCCGGAGTGCAGCCAGTGCCTGTAGTACCGCTCCTCGAGGTCGCGCGAGAAGCCCTCGCGGCGGAACTGCGCGTAGATGGCCTCGAAGCGCGGCAGGATGCGCGCGAGCAGCGTCTCGATGTGGAAGCCGCCGGGCAGCGAGGCCGGCGCGATGGCGTTGAGCGAGGTTGTAGGGCGCGTGTTGGTCGTGTTGATGCCGATGCCGACGACGCACTGGTACGAGCCCTGGAAGTAGCTGCAGGTGGAGAGGATGCCGCCGATCTTGACGTAGGAGGGATCCGAGGGGGAGGAGGTGGGATCGCGGCAGTCTGTGACTGTGGTTAAATACGGCTTTATTTGTGTAGAGAAATAGTTGAGAAGACTTACAGATGTCGTTGGGCCACTTGAGCTTGATTGGGATATCGCCGCATCCTACATCATACGTCTGCACGGCCTCGGCGATGGCGATCGCTGAAATGTACTGCAGGAACACGATCGGGTGAGAGGCGGCCAGGTGTGCGGGATGGTTGATGACCGTCGAGAAGAGCAAGCTTCCAGGCGGCGCGATCCAGACGTTTGTGCCGCGGCCGCGGGCAGCCACGGAGACTGCTGCCGTCAGCGTGAAGCCGGTCGGGAGACAAGACAGGAGCTTGTTGTTTCTGCCAAAGTCAGCAGGTCTTCGTATCACATACAAAGAGAAAACCTACTTGTCCATGAGCGTGTTCGTGCTCGTCACAACCTCACCATACAACAATGTATCGCCCCACTCCTCCGCCTCCTTCTCCTTCTCACGATACCCCTTCAGGCTGTTATAATACAGCCGGTGGTTGAAGCTCGGCGTCTCCTTAACATCAGGCCACGCCTCCTCGTGCGGAACGATGACCTTGACCACCTTGTCGTAGTCCATCGCCCCGGACGGCAGCGCGTCCCGCAGATCCTCGACGCTGAACCGCGTGGCCTGCTTCTCGATGCGGAAGACGTCGTGCTCGCCGTGGATGTACTCCTCCCCGTCCCCGGTCCGCGTGATCGCCTCCTCCCAGGATGCCAGCGTCTCGGCGACCTCGGTGTGGTTCGCCGAGGTCAGGTGCAGGCGAGAGAGCACCGGGGGAGCGGACGGGTCGGCGCTGAGGTCGAGGCCGAGCTTGGTGAGACAGGTGCGGAGGAAGGTGATGCGGGCTGCGTCGGCTGCTGCGAGCGTCGCGATGAGGGTTTCGTAAGTTGGGATCTTGGGCTGGGGGTGCAGGTTTGCGGCAGCGAATCTGGGTATCGTTAGCTGAGCCATCAAAAAGGGGGCCGACAGACATACTCGGGATGAGGACCGGTGAGAACGACATGCCCGTTCCCAACCTTGGAGTAAATCACCGCAGCCTTCCCATCCCCGCCATCAACATCAATCTCATCCGCATAACTCGCAAGCACCTCAACCCCCGAACACCCCTCCGCATCAACAAACACCCCGCCCCCGTTATAGTAGCTCACAACCTCCCCCTCAGCCGTACTCAGTCTCACAGCCCGCGCGCCGCTCTCGCTATGGTACGCAAACCCCTTGAACGCGCCGCCGCGGCACGTCCCGGGGAAGAAGCCCAGCTCGCGCGTGCCAATGACCTCGAGCGTCTTATCGCCGACCTCGAACTCGCACTTGCGCGAGGCGTAGTACCCGCCCGCGCAGAAGCCGAGGTACGAGCCGCCCTTGCGGACGAACTCGGCGATGCGCCGGTTGCCGGCGCCGTTGAGCACGCGGCAGTAGCCCAGGTCGCCGCCGCCCGGGATCACGAGCAGCGCGCAGGTCGCCTGCCAGGGCTCCTTGAGCAGCGCGGGCTCCGGGAGCGGGATGACGGCGTAGGTGGGGGAGAGGAGGTGGCGGAGGGTGAGGAGGGCGTGGCGGACTGATTCGAGGGTCGTGCCGGTGCCTGCCGTGAGTGTCAGTTTGAGGACATGGAATGAGAGTTGGAAGGTTGGTTACCGCTGTAGATCAGCACGTTCAGTTTCCGAGGGGCCATGGTGTGATTTTGGCGATGGCCGGTGAGATGAGTTGTGAGGGATGAGTGAGTGAGTGAGTGAATAAGCCCCCGTGGTTGGGAGTCAAACGCCGAAAATTTAGGGGCACTGTCCTGAAGTGCTGAACCCCAACAATTCTACAATGCTAAATTTAACTCTTCTTCCCTTCCTCACATCCGACGAAGTAAAAGCAGCCTGCACTCATCAATCAGCGCACACTTCGATTGTAGGACCGGAGATCAAGCAGGAGGAAACAATGTCGAAGCAAGAGAGCGACGCGGCGCAGAAGGCGGCAGCAGACGACGAACCTGATGACTGGTAGGTGTTTCTTCTTACCTCGACGGATCTCACTCTTCTCCGAGACAATGACCTTCGTGGCGTGAAATCGATGAAGAAAAAACATCTCGAAGAAAAATTGTCGACGGCCATCAAAACAAAAACGCAGGGACTGCGGCTAACGTTGCCATGCAGGGACAAGCGCATCTTCAGCACCGGCTGCGCAGGTAAACGTCCAACCGCATTCTCCGATCCGGCCACGGAACGATCGGCCGGCAATGGCTTGCGCTAACACGCTGTTCAACAGATGAGAACGCGAAATTGACGGACTGCTATTTCGAAAAGAAGGACTGGCGACAATGCACCGCCGAGGTTCGTCCAATCCCCCCCCCTTGCCAACCAACGTGATGAGCGAAGCTGACGACGGGTGTCGTCCCAGATGGAGCGGTTCAAGAGCTGTTGGAAGCAGCAGGGGAACGATGCCCGGACAGACACCCAAGACGCCTGATTCGACTCTTCGGCATGAAATAAGTGTACGATTCGTGTATTATTACTGTACATAACTCCCATCAACAACATCATGATGCCCTCAGAACAAGAGTGGACTGACCGACTGCTCCATGACCGCAACAGTGCCGAGGCGTCGCTCACACGGTCCCGATTTAAGCGGTGGCCCAAGCTCCAATCCACGGCACGGCGTTCCTCCGCCCCGGCCAAATTTCAATCTCTCAATCACCACCCGCCCCCCGCCGCCGACCATTCACGATATCACCATCGACAGCGCGCAAACACCCATTCGCGCGTCCTACTCCGTCCAACATTCTCTAACGCTCTCTCTTTTCTGATTTAGTTGCAAAAATCATACAAACCCCATAATGATCCCCGCCATGGCTTCCCAGCAAGCCCTCCGCCCGCTCCTGCGCCTCACCCGCCCCGCCACCCAAATCGCCAGAATCACCACCACAACACGCACAAAAGCAGCCGCCGCCGCGACAGCAACAGCTCCTAAACCCGCCCCAAGGCCCGCCGTCTCCCGCGCCGCCACGCCGATAGTCAAGAAGCCATACACCAAACCCGCCCCCAAGCCCCCGTCACCACCCCCGCCTCCGCCACCAGCAGCAACCCCCGAAGCCGACGCCGCCATCGGCCCCTCGCTCTCCTCCTCCACACCGCTGCCCACCGCGCCCTTCGACAACGGCACCAGTAACGGCAACGGGAGCGGAAGTGAGGACGGCAACGGCAACGGCGTCGTCGACTGGACGAGATCATACTACGGCCTCGGCACGGCGCGCTTCCCCAAGGAGGTCGTCGACATCCTGCTGCAGCCCGTCAACCCGGCCGACGTCGAGGTCAAGCCCGACGGCATCATCTACCTGCCCGAGATCAAGTACCGCCGCATCCTGAACCAGGCGTTCGGCCCCGGCGGCTGGGGCCTGGTGCCCAAGGGCGAGGTCGTCGTCGGCGAGAGGATCGTGACGAGGGAGTATGCGCTCATTGCTGAAGGACGGTACGTGAACCTGATGTGTCCCCGCTTCTCTTTGTCCCTCCGGGAATGAGACAGAGCAGCAAGACTAACTTTATCATCACGCAGATTCATCTCCCAGGCACAAGGCGAAAACGGCTACTTCAACGTCGAGAACCTCCCCTCCGCCGTCGAGGGCTGCAAATCCAACGCCCTGATGCGCTGCTGCAAGGACCTGGGTATCGCTTCCGACCTGTGGGACCCCGTCTTCATCCGCGCCTTCAAGAAGGAGTACGCCCTCGAGGTGTGGTGCGAGCACGTCACCACGGGCAAGAAGAAGCTCGTCTGGACCCGCAAGGATGTGCCGATTGCGTACCCGTTCAAGAAGACGCAGTAATTAACCGAAAAACAAGGAAAGAAAACAAGATGCAAGGGGTGGTGGAGTGTATAGAGCCACGAGGAGTAAAACAATGTACGATTGGATGGGAATCTCTCCTGTATAAATAGACCAGATCATATGGCATGGGAAACGCGCATAGACGCATAGGCATTTTACGTAGCGACAACAGCAGCTTGCCTTGATGAAAGACTTCATATCGGTTCGTGAGAGGGGACATCGACTGTTAGCGATGAGCCCCGTCTATTCAGCCCTGAACAAGAGGGGATTGAGGGGAGCGCAGTGCTTTCTGGTCCCCGAAGACGTCTTACAAGTCTGTCCATCCGATGCTCCGCCCGGCCGAATCTAGCAAAATCAGACGTGAAACCCACAAAACTCCGTAGCCCAGTTCAATCAAAAGAGAAGCGAGACACTACTTCTGCACGCCAGAGCTAGACCCACCGTCGGGATTCTCAGCCGTCGGCGTGGAGCCCCATCCGAACGGCATCCACGATGATCCCCCGCCCTGTCTCCGCCTCACGGTCCCTTCGCCGTCTTGGTCCTCGGCCCCGCTCTCAGCATCAATCTTTTCAAAATCGGTCTCGCTGCGCGACTTGCTCAGCCCGCTGTGCGCGCTCATTGGCCTCTGCGTAGGCTCGTCGTCGTCTGCCCCGTCCAGCTGCATGCTTCCCGCCCTGCCAGGCACCTGACCCTCGGTGACGGCAGCCTCACGCTCCAGAACTTTGAGGAGGAATGCCAGGCGCTCGCGCTGCGCGGCGATGAAGCTCGTGCGCTCGCCTCCCTGCAGCTCCGGCGGGATGAGGTTGCCAGACTTGGAGAGGTCCTGGTGCGGGTGGCCGGTCACGCCGCCACCGGTGGCTGCAGAGACGGCGCCGGCAAGGAGGTTGTAGAAGTCGGTGCCGGTGTTACCGGCAGGTGCCCAGCGCGCGGCAGGGACGCTAAACCGGGCGAGCAGCGACTGGGTGTAAGACTGAGAAGCCGGGGGCGGGGTAGCGGCTGGTTCAGGCTCGCCTGGGGGCAGGCCAAGAACGTTGGTCTTGATGAGCTCAATGGCGCGCTTGAGGTAGGCGATGCCAGCAGCCTTGAGGCGATCGTGGGCTTCCGAGATGAATTCTTCGATTTGGGCTTCGTTGTCTTGGAGGAATGGGTGGACGTGGGTCTGGTAGATGATGCGGGCGCCCTGGGTCTGGGGGAGGACGAGGTAGAGGAGGAAGAAAAGACGGATGTAGGCGTAGAAGGGGATCCTAGTGGTGTTAGTCGTTGCGATTGCAGAGGAGAGGGGAATTGCGACATACCAGACGAGAATCCATTCAGTCCAGGACTCGACGAGGAGCGCGCAGGCGAGGACGACCCAGTACATGAGCCATGGCGTCAGTTGGGCGGGGTCGGAGGTCTTGAGGGCCTTGTAAGAGGCGAAGAGGGGGAAGAGGAAGGATGCGATGGAACTACGATGCGGTGTCGCGAAGTCAGTGAGAAGTCCGGAATCGGCGGAGGGTTCCCGCAGAAAGAAGTATGGGGGAGAGCATTGGGGAGAACGGGATCGGAGGGGCGGCAGGGTGCCCCGCGCGGGCTGTACTCACGATAAGAGATGGGCGAATATGTCGAACATGGTTGCGCTTCGGGTGGGAGTATCGATAAGGGAAGCAGCAGGTAGGGAAAAGGTCGAGAAGGTGTGTGGGAGAGAAAGAGATGTTGTATCAGCGAAGAAGAGATGGATGGCGGCAGCCTTGCACACGGATCGTCCAGCGCACGCGCAGCGGCAGCGGGAACCTGATGGAAGAAGCTCAGCAGGGCAGCACAGCCGACGTCAGGCGAGGGGTTGCGCAGACGGGGTGGCCTGGCCGGACCGAGTCGAGGTGAAGGTTCAAGTAAGAGTCGGGGGCCTGCGTTCGAAGGGTTCCAGATCCCACGTCCCAGATGATCCCGTCAGGGCGCTGTGTAAGACGGAAAGTCGGTCTTAAGGTGAGGAAGGCGGAATAGCACTTGTACGACGGCGGCCAGTAGAGGTGGGAGGAGGTGCAGATGCAAGCAGCCGGTGCAGGTGTAGGCGCAGTAGTGGCAGTAGTGGCAGCAGCAGCAGCAGCAGCAGCAACCAGTGTCGGCGCTCGGAGGACGAGAGAGGTGAGGTGAGTGACAGGGTGGGGAATGGGGGTCCTGAGCACGCGGACAGAGCAGGTCACGGTGCAGGCACTTTCTCTCCAGGTCAAGTGAGCTCTCACACTCACCTTGGCGGACTCCCGTCGTGGCGGGGACACTGGAGGGGGGAGGGGGGCGCACCGGGGATCGTTTTGGGGGCGCACCTTACCCGCTAGAAGCCGCGCACTTGCGGTTGATCGGAGGGGCGTCGCAATGAGGAAGGGAGGGGCCTGGATGAGATCCTAGTGCGTGCCTGCTGCACCTGGATTGGCCGACGTCATTGAGGGGCGTCCGATAAGCCGATAAGGATCACTTAAGCGATGCTGAAACCGGACCTGGCAGGGACGACTCGACAACTCATGTTTTCATCTCATCTCGGTCCGTGGGCTGTTGCAGGGCTCACCGAGGCACGATGCCGTCTTTAATACGACGAGAAACCCCTTAATGAACACCTAGTCTTTGACAAAAGATATATATGTGGCAACGCTAAGGTTCGTGCCTGAGTCTGCCAGAGAAACAAACACCTGTCTTTGGTTGACGGTTGCATGGACCAGCCAGAACTGCGAGTACGCGTCCATTGACGAAGTCAAATGCCCATCTTACCCGACAGGAACCATGTTTTACCCCCAGGTTTCCCCCGTATCCAAGCGGCATGTGATGCTGTTAGCGCCTGTCGGTCCCGCACCCTGGCCAGGGCCCCAACATACCCCTCCGGAATGCCCCTTTCAGACATGCCACTGAGGCCGTCAAAGAAATTTTCGGGATAGGTAGCCAACGAACTGTCGAGAGGAAACTGAGAGTTCAGGCTACAGTCTGTGTTAACTCATCCTTTATGCTAGGCAGGCAACAAAGAACACGTTGAACAGCCACGTAGGCTAACCAATAGGCAGCACATGATTCTGTAAAGAACAACATGGCTCTACTAAATATGAATCGTGTCTTGAAAGAGCAGAAAACTCTCCCGTCGTTTCTCAGCTTCCGTCTTATTCGCATTCCGACAACTCTATCCCTCAAGTGTAGCCCGCATCAAATCTTATCACAGACTTGCCCTGCAGCAAAAGGCATTCCTGGAGCAACTAGAAAGAGCAGGTCAGCTGCAAGTCCCCGGCTGAAATTGTTCTTATTCTCCTTGACATCACAGTAGGGAGTTGCATTGAGGTTGAGACTTTTACTGCCATAGGCAAAATTCTCTTCTGGCAATAAGACGCCATTCTATATCCACGTACGGACTGCGCCATAGCCCGTGTATGTGTTGAATTAGGTTTAGTTCTGAACTCTAGTCTAAGTGTCTGATAACACCATTCTATCCGTTGAATAGAATACCTCGCAAATTACAAAGCCCTTTTTCCATGTACAATATCCGTCTAAGCTTCAGTAGACTAATCATGCGCTTCGACGTTTTCGATGGCAGTCTTGTTCAACCCAGGCCAGTGCTTCTTACCCCAAGTGTACCAGAAGCTCACTGCACCAACAACAACGACTACATACACCGGACCGGCGTAGTTCATCTCCGTACCCGTGACAGGGACGGTCTGCGGAAACGGCAGCCAGATGCTCAGATACATCGACCAAAGCAGCGCGTAAATGTTGATCGGCGTGCCCCAGCCCTTCGGCAACGACCATCCTCCGTACTGCACCTCATATTCCGGGCCGTGACCGATACGCCCCGTCATCCTGGCATGAAGCATGCAGGATATGGCGATGATGTACGAACTGTACAGACCTAGAGACGACAGAGCCGTGAACGCCGAGAAGATGGTTGCCGTGGCGTTGTTGCCAACCGTAAACAGCGATAGCAGGGTGACGATGACACAGGGCAGCCAGACAGACCTGACCGGGACCCGGTACTTTGGATGGATCTTGGCAAAGTACCGCGGCAGCCCTCCATCTCGAGCCCACGCCCACGTAATTCTCGACACCGACGCCAGCGAAGCAGCAACCACGCAGAACGTGATTATCAACAACCCGCACACCATCGCCGTCCCCGCCTTTGCGCCAGCCGCGTTGAACAGCAGCGGGATGATGGGATAATCAGACGCCAAAACATCATCCGGCTCGCCCATCGCAAACAGAATCGCCAAAATGATCCCATACGACATGATCCCATTCAGCACAATCGTCCACAACATCGCCCTCGGCACAGCCTGCTTCGCCCGCCGCACCTCCTCCGACATGTGCACCACGCCGTCGAACCCGATGAACCCCCACGCCGGCACCAGCATGCCAATGTTCCACGACACGAAGCCGTTCGTCCAGCCGGAGCTGACGGTGCGCTCGAAGAAGACGAAGTCGGCGCTCGCGCGCGGCGCGAGGGCGAGCAGCACGACGACGATGACGACCCAGAGCACGACGTGCAGCACGCCCGCGAGCAGCTCCATCCACGGGATCGAGCGGAAGGCGTACATGTTGATGAGCCCGCACGCGACGAGCTGCGCGACGATGACGAGCGTCAGGTGCCACGGCTGGAAGGAGTAGGACGGGTAGTTGGTGACGACGAGGCCCATGATGATGTTGGCTTCCGAGGCGGCGGAGCCGGCGAGCGCGGAGACCCAGGCGAACCAGGTTACCCAGCCTTGCATCCACTGACAGCAGTGAGTATCTTCTCAGCGTGGTCTTCCTGGTTTTGCTTGGGAGCTTGGGTGAGGCTTACCGTGATGAACCTGCGGTGCTTCTCGGGAGCGAGGAAATAAGTCCAGTGATACTGCGCTCCAGCAATCGGTTGGATGGTAGCGAGTTCCGCCATCGAAAGTGCCTGGGCCATTGCTCCCACGACAACGAGAATGATGCCCCAAGCAAGCGTCTGCGGTCCGCCGTTGTAAAAGGTTGCTCCCATGTCCATCGCCATAACTTCCCATGACGACATG